TTTTAAAATTTTCTTTGAGGTGTTTACATTTCATTTCTCAAAATATACTTTACTCTTATTGAACTTAAATGTTTCCTAAATTTATACAGTTTCTTTTTTTAGTGGCTTCCTACTACAGACAGATAACATACATTTCACTGGTTCTTTAAGTATATGAATCCCTGGGAAATTTTATTAAAAGTGAAAATAGTTGGGGCCAAAGAGAGCTCAACTGACTGAGTACAGACTTTGCATGCAAGAGGACTGGTACCAGTACCAAGTAAGCATGGAGCAGCCTCCAGACACAGAACCACGAGTTCCCCTACTTGTAACTAACTGGGTGTGACCCAAAAGCAAAACACAGAGTCCAGATTTCCTTCCTTCCTTCCTTCCTTCCTTCCTTCCTTCCTTCCTTCCTTCCTTCCTCCCTCCCTCCCTCCCTCCCTCCCTCCCTTCATTCCTTCCTCCTTCCCTCCTTCATTCCTTCACAAAGCATGTTCTCTAGCCTTTTGAGTCATCTCTCTAACCCAACACAGATTTTCAGTTCTGACTATAAATTCTTTTTCAGTAGATTTGGAGGTTGGACTAGGAGATCTATATTGAAAAAAAAAAAATGGCCACACCTGGTAGTGCCCAGGGTTTACTCCTGGCTCTTTGCTCAGGGATCACTCATAGTGAGACTTGAGGGACCATATGTGGTGCCAGGGATTGAACCTGGGTTGGCCTTGTACCAGGCAAGCATCTTAGCCTTTTTTTTTTTCTTTTTGCTTTTTGTGTCCGTAGCACAGTGGGTAGGGCATTTGCCTTGCGGCCTAGCCGGGTTTGATTCCTTTGCCCCTCTCGGAGAGTGGGCAAGCTACCAAGATTATCCCGCCCGCACGGCAAAGCCTCACAAGCTACCCATGACATATTCAATATGCCAAAAACCGTAACAACAAGTCTCACAATGGAGATGTTACTGGTGCCCGCTCGAGCAAATCGATGAATGATGGAAGGACAGTGCTACAGTGCTTTTTGGATCACACCCAGCAATGCTTGGGGGTTACTCCTGGCTTTGCACTCAGGAATTACTCCTGGCGGTGCTTGGGGAACCATAAGGGATTCTGGGGATCGAACCCGGGTCGGCCGTGTGCAAGGCAAATGCCCTACCCACTGTACTATAGCTCCGGCCCCAAGCATCTTAACTTTGTACTAATTTTCTGGCCCCCAGACTTTTCAGATTGAAAAGAGGTTTGTTTGTGGTAGGGGGAACACCTTGTCCACTCCGAGTCAGGGTGAGCAGAAATTCAAAAGAGGTCTGTGATCGGAGGTGAGTAAACCAAAGGGAAAGGCAGAAACTGTGATATCGGCAAGGTAGGCCTGGGGCTTCAGTGTCTACATGATGCTTGTATTTTATTCAGAAAGCAGTTTAAACTTATGGAGGTACTTGTTTTTCCTTTATTGCTGGCTATCAAGCCCAGATCTCATACGTACACTTTTTCACTGAGCCATGTCCTGATCCTCTTTTGAGGCTTGTCTTATTTTTTGTTTTGTTTTTTTGGTAGTTTGGGCCACACCCAGTGGTGCTCAGGGCCTGTTGGCTCAGTGGTCAGGGATCACTCTTGAAGGCTCCTGGCAGCCAGGGATTGAACCCTGATTGACTACGTGCAAAGCAAGCGCCTTATCTGCTTTACTCTCTCTTAGGCCCCATTTGAGGTGTTTTAAAGATTAGCAGGAGGAATATCATTATGTTTCATATTACTATTTGAAAACAGCAACTTTGGCAAAGAACTAAAGCATGTGACTCAAATTTTGTTTTATTCAACACTTCATTTAGTCATAATAGATTGTTTGTAATATATTGTAGATGTTTGCATTTTTTTGTCTTTTAAAAAATTTTTTTGAGATGTTTACATTTCATTTCTCAAAATATACTTTAATTGAATTTAAATGTTTCCTAAATATATACAGTTTCTTTTTTTTTTTTTTTTACTTTTTCTTAGTGGCTTCCTACTAAAGGCAAAATAACAAAAAAAAAAAAAGGAAAGTGACAACTTTGGCCATTGTAGAGTTGGAGGTAGAAAGCAGTAGACTAAATCTTTATAGAGCGAGATAACAGTGATCAAGACTAGGGAGTTAGGGTTAAGATGAAGGGAGGTGCTGGATTGAATCTTACTTTATAATTTGACTTGTAGGATCTGTGAGAAATGGATTGGATATGGAATATGAAAGGAAGGAATATGACAAGGATGATCCCTAGATTTCTAGATTGAATTGGGGCTGGAGCGATAACACAGTGGTAGGGCATTTGCCTTGCAAGCCACCGCCTGGCTGAGCCAGGTTCAATTCCTCTGCCCCACTCGGAGAGCCCAGCAAGCTACCGAGAGTATCTCGCCCTCGTGGCAAAGCCTGGCAAGCTACCCGTGACGTATTCAATTGCCAAACACAGTAACAACAAGTCTCAAAATGGAGAGCTTACTGGGCCTGCTCGAGCAAATCGATGAACAACGGGAAGACAGTGCTCCAGTAGAATTTTAGACATTTTATTGAGATCATAAGGAATTTTGCAGGAACAGATTTGAAGGGAAAGATCATTTCTTTTTGTGGCTTCTTGGTGTTTTTTTTTTCTTTTTTAATAAACTTCTACTTTCACAAGATTCTGCTCACAGTTATCCTCCTGGGAACTCACTGTTCTCTTTCAAGTCCCACCACCCCCAACTGCCTCCTACACACAGACATCCACGCCTCTAGAAGGGCAGTAAGTCGTGCTTGGCCAAGTCTTGTCTTCCTCGTGCTTGTTTTTCTATTTAATAATTATTTACTTGCCTATTTCCCTCCCTTGATTTAATTTCTTTGGCAGGGAAGTGTATTATTTGTTTGGTATGCCTGGAATGTGATGAATATTCCTCCAACTGATTTCCCACTAAGTTTATGTATGTTAAAGGTTCCTTTATCTTAAATCCAGGTGATGCTGGATTATGTTTCTTTACCGCAGACCTTCTCCTTAATTTTTTATTTTCTACTGTGGATTGTGAATTTCTGGGAAATACATAAGGCATGGGGTACTTTTCAGAATTGTTAATTTTTGCTTCCCCTATCTTTTGTTTTCTGAGCAGCTCATGTTACTCAGTGGAGGTTAGGAGGTGGGCTAGGAACAGGACAGGAAGTGCTGATTTCGACTTGTGCCTGTCCTGAGAGGGAGCGAGGAGTTGGTTGAATGTGGCAACCCCCACAGCCCTGAGAGAACAACCTAGGGGTGTCTGAAAGCTCATTTGTCGCTGGTTGCTTTAGATCGCTTTATTTCACCTGCAGTGATGATAGCAAACAAAAGGCTGGAGCAGTAGGGCAGTGACTAGACATACACCGTCTCCAGAGCCTGCCATGAATGCAGAGCCAGGAGTAGACTCTCAGCATCCCTAGGTGCGCCCCCTCCCCCCCCACACACACATCCCCTCTCAAAAGACAAAAGCAAAACAAATGAAAGCACAGAATTTACTATCTATTGTTTGTTCTTGCCAAGCTTTAAAGGTTGGGTGATGAGGTAACAAATTCTGTTTTGTTTCTTTGTGACTAGGAATGGCTGAATTAAAATGTTTTTATTTCTTTTATTCATTCCCAACATCATGCCTTTATTATACCACCTGGGTTTAAAAGATATATAAGCAGAGTTATATTAGTAATTTTTTTGGGGGGGAGGGGGGCATACACCCAACTGTGCTCAGGGCTTACTCCCTGTTCTGTGCTCAAGGATCACTCCTGGCAGTGTTTGGGGGACCATGTTTGATGCCGGGGTGGGCTACATGTAAGGCAGGCACCTTACCCTCTGCACTATCTCACTACAACCCCATAATAAGTTTTCAGTAGTTATATTTATAAGACTACATTGCTTTAGGTTGTTATCTGTAGTGACCAGAGCCTAAGTTTCAGAGAACATTAGGAGAGACTAAATGAGAAAGATACAATATTTTCCCCCCTTTCATAGGAGCATGAGTTTATTTTAGAGGGAAATCCCCACCTCAGCCCCCACAGTTCGTGTGCTCAAGATACTGCTCTCTTGTTTGTTTTGGGCCACATCCTGCTGTACTTCTGGGGACCTAGGGCGTCTGCATACAGAGTGGGCGTCCAGCCTCTGAGCCATCTTCGTACTCCAAGACAAGTTCATTTTCAGTGTAGTGGAAAGTTTCACCAGGAATTCACCGACTTAAACAGGAAATACATTTGTTTGTAGGTATTTATTTTGTAATGCCAGATGACATTATTATATTTTATTTATTAACAGATTCTGACTGCTGGTATCTTCTTTGTAGTCATGTGGAGTGGCCTTTGTTCTCCACTTTATTTGGCTATCAAGTTAACAATGGAAATATTTTTTTCTGAGCAGTAAACAATAGGGCCTAGATTAATAGGGTAAATATCTCACACCCACATTTAAGTGTGTATGTGCATTCTGGGCCTTGCTTGTGAGAATTTTATGCTTTCACATGAAATGTGTGCTTTCATTCACTTTTCCCACCCTTTATTATGACATGTGTTAATTTCCAAATTGGAGTACCTTGAGACGGTCATTTTAGTTCTGCTCTTAGAGGAGAATTTTTTTTCTCTGTTATTAAGTTTAATATTCCCTCTGCTTTCAAGGCCGGTCTGAAGACTGGACTTAATTTTAAATAAAATTACAGTCTTTGAATAAAGTTAGTTTTTCTGTATTTTTTTTAAGGAGTGACTAGGAAAAGGAAACAAGGAAAGCGATTCCTGTAGATTCACAGTTGTACAAGTGAATGTCTAAGTTAAGTGCTTTTTCGGTAGTTAGCAGCCACGTTTTGGTTCTTCTTTTCTATCAATCCACTTGTCTCTGTTATACCCACTGTCACACAAGCATAATGGCATAAACTCACCTGGATCTGGTTACCACAATCGTTTATTCTGTTGAGACACAAATCAGGACACATTGTTTGGGTACACTTTGGTCTGCACGTGGGCTCCTGATAAGGTATTTGCTGTCCAGGAAAATCATTTTAACTCTGGCAACCTCATGTTTGTTTCAGGTCGGTCTTCTCTCTTTCCCTTTGAAGATGCCTTCCTGGATGACAGTCACGGGGATCAGTCCTTGTCATCTGGCTTAAGTTCTCCCACTCGCTGTCAAAATGGAGAACGAGTTGAACGCTACTCTAGAAAGGTGTTTGTTGGGGGCCTTCCTCCTGATATCGATGAAGGTACAACATGTTTATTAATGATTTTATAAAGGCAGGTTTGGTTTTTTCGTGTGATCTGTTCCTGCCCCTTATTTGCAGGAAGGTTGAACACTGCCAATATCAATGAGCAGGACATGTGACTATTTGGTAGGTGGGATGTCCTGTCTGGTCAGATTTTATAGAAAAGTACATTGAGAACCAAAGAGAAACCAGTTGTCCCGAGTTATGTAGCCAGTGATTTGGTATTCAAAAGTAATTTGGAACCCAAAAGTGTTCTGATTCCAGGGCTTTCAAACCTTGGCCATCAGACCAGGCAATCTCTTATTTGACATAGATATTTTTGAATGAGCATAATCCCCTCTCTTGCCTTTAAAAGAATGAAGACTGGGGCTGGGAATATGGTTCAAATGGGTGGAGCATATGCCTAGTATGAGCTTAGATTCCTGGCATTGCTTTCTCAGGCACCATGGCTGTGGTCCTGGTGGTCCCCATTTCTGCTCCCCTCACACTGCTGGGTGTATTCCCTTGTCTTTAAAAATGAAAACTAAGTAGATTCTTCTCCTTAATAATTTGAGAGGCTGGGGAGATCATTCTGGGGGTGGGAGGCGGGGGGGAGTATATGCCTTGCATGCAGGATGCCCCACATTAAACCCCAGCACCATGTGGCCTCCGGACCTCTGCCTGGTGTGGCCTGGTAGCCCCTCAGCACTGCAAGGTCCAAGCCCTGAACTGTCCCGTTTGCATCATCAGGCCAAGCAGGCCCTGGGCCCCACGAAACACAGGACAGCTTCCCCACCCCAAAGAAGAATTTCTATTTTTGTGGCAGAAAGGTATTACAAGGGTGAAACTGCTTGCCTGGCATGCAACCCTCACACCACGTATGATCTCCCAGGCATCTCCACCACTTGGTGCGACCCCTGTGCACAAAGCCAAGAGTAGACTCTGAGCATCTCTGGGTGTGGCCCAAACCCCACCCAGCTCCCCAATTTGTATTTTTACCTAGAAATAAGTGAGTGCCTTGCCCAAAGCCAGTCAGTACACTGTAGGTTGTCAGTAAATTTTTGTTTTTGGTTTTGTGCCACACGGTGCTACTCAGGGGTAACTCCTGGCTCTGCACTCAGGAATCCCTCCTGGAGGCTCCAGGGACCTTGTGGGATGCTGGGGATTGAACCCAGGTTGACCATATTTAAGGCAAATGCCTGAACCAGTGTACTATCACTCTGGCCCAAATATTTTTTTAATGGAGGAATGAAATAAAGTTGTGACCAAATTGACTTAAATGCAAAACCAAGTCTATTTCTATTAAATTTGGGATCTGCTATAAAGATATTGTTTAAACAGATTTTCTTTTGGCCAGTTTATAGCTGTGCAACTATACCATTTTTTTTTCTTTTTGGGTCACACCCAGCAATGCACAGGGGTTACTCCTGGCTCTCCACTCAGGAATTACTCCTGGCAGTGCTCAGGAGACCATATGGGATGCTGGGAATCAAACCTGGGTTGGCCGCATGCAAGGCAAACGCCCCAGCACTGCCATTTCTTTAATTTTTCCTGATTTTCTTTTTTTATGACAAGAGAATAGTCTCTAAAAATAGTTATATATTTCGGGGCCAAGGCCATAGTATAGTAGATAGGGCACCGGCTTTGCACATGACCAACCTCGTTTTGATCCCGTCATCCCATTTGGTCCGCTGAGCCTCGCCAGGAGTGATTCCTGAATGCGGAGCCAGGAGTAAGACCTGAGCACTGCCAAATGTCTCCCAGAAATCCAAACAACAAAAACACCCAAAACAAAAACAGTTATGTTTTAGACTTAAGACTTTAAAGTTACACACAGCAAGTGATTCATTTTCCTTCAAACCATTCTCAAACTAGTGCTAATTTTATACATCAGCTAGATTTTTCTTTAAAATAGAAGCTTTTTTTGATACCCTTTTTTAAAAAAATTATTTTTTCATGATGCCAGGGATCAAATCCTGTTCTGCTACAGGGAAAGCATATACTTTACCTCTGTGCCACATTTTTCACAAGACCGAGTTTTGATTATGGCTGAGAAAGGCCCTTTAAAATCTGAATAAGGACCAAGTTTTAACTGTTGTTTTGAGTTAAAATTATATGGGAAATATACATTTATTGCCCTATAACTTTTTGGTGGGGATGTTTGGGCCACACCTGGCAGTGCTCAAGGATTACTCCTGGCTCTGCACTAAGGAGTCACTCCTGTGAGCCCACTCCTGTGGGCTCGGAGGACCATATGGGACGCTGGGATTAAATCCAGGCTGGCTGCATGCAAGGCAAGCGCCCTACTCACTGTACTATTGCTCTGGCTTCAGCATATTTTGAATATTTTGTATAGCTTTTTCTTTTTTCTAAAGCAGAAAAACTCTATTTTTGGAATCTTTTTACTTTATCTAGAGGTCACCTTAATGTCATATTTGTGTTCCCAAATTCTTTACTGGCAGTTTATGGAAATGAATTATAGCGAGGAACACATTCTTCATGGTTAATTGTGGTTAGCCAAAAGTATCTCCCAATAAATGGTATTTTGGGCCAGCGATGCGATTCAGATGGCGAGCATATGCTTGGGTTTAACCCTCTACACTGCCTGAGTGGCCCTAATGACCGCTGAGCACCTGAACGCGTAGCACTCAAAGCAATATCATAACTAGCTTTTTAAATGCTTTTTTTTCACATAATAGGTTTGACTTCTATTAAAAATGCTATAAATGTAGATAACTCAGTATTATTTTAAGTAAAAGGACATATTTCGTGCCATTTTGGTTTGCAATATTTCCTCTTTTTCTGATACCTCTTCTATGTTTTGTAGATGAGATCACTGCCAGCTTCCGCAGGTTTGGACCTCTTGTCGTAGACTGGCCTCACAAAGCTGAAAGCAAGTCGTATTTTCCTCCTAAAGGTAATGAACTTAAAATGTCTGCACTGCTTGCCTATTGAAGAGTGGCATGATGGTTCAATAAAAGGCAGCCTTTTTCACTCTTAAAATAGCTGTTGACTTTTTCTACCTTCTCTTATGAAAATATTTAAACTTCGTTTGTGTCTTACTGTTTCCACTTGGAGACTCGCCCTAGGTGCACCCTGGTTATTTCCTAACATCTATTTTACAGATGGTGAGATCACGTGAGTCTGTGACTTATGCAAAGATTTTATTTTTTGAGAGAGTCACGCCTTTGAGGAATGTCAGTAACAGGAGAGGGGAAAAATAGTCAAACTTTATTTGTACCCCATTTTGTTGATCCTATAAATCCCAAATTTGGAAAATCCTGGTGGCTAAAAATGACTATGTATGACATTGTCCTTATTCATAAATATATGTTAATCAACTTAGCCTCTTTAGGGATGTTGATGAATCAAGCAAGCAAGCTCACAGAGAACTTTACATGACCTTGCTTCTCTTATTTTTAATAAACTGATCATTTCTAAGGTCATGAAAATACATGACTTTGTTCATAGTTTGTTATTTCTGTAGCATCTAGGGAATTTTTCTAGTGGTGTTAAATCTGGGTTTGTCCTTGATTTGTTTAGAAGAGGATTTTGGGTTAATGAGTAAATATCCTGATGTTCTGTTGATATGTTTCAATGATGCCTTTCATCTCTAAAGAATTATTTCTTGATATGTATCATTTCGCAATTCATCACAAGGAATTGGAGTCAAAATACCCTTCCTATGCCTTTTGTGGGAATCAGATTGTTCAACCTGTGAAAGACACGTGAATTGCTCTTGTGTCTGGCGTATTAGATTCCTTTATCACCTGGCCTCCTCTTTGTAAATATAGTCTCTAAAAAGTTTGCTCACTAAACAGAAGGTTGCTTTTTTGCCCTTTGAATATTCTTCTGTTAATTCCCTCTAAGAATTTTGTTTTGGTTCACACACAGTGGTGCTTGGAGGATTGCGTGTTCGCTAAGCGTCACACCTGGAGCCTTCTGTGTTCAGCATGTGCTCTAGGCCTTTGAGCTATCTCCCTGCTCCTGTAGGAATTATTTTATCTTTTCCTTTTATTTATTTACTTATTTAAACTTGAGTTGCGGCAGCATGATTAGAGTGGTGCTTATGCTTATGGTGTACATAACTTCTGTCTCCCGACATCCCCCAGAGTGCTCCAGATCCTTCACCCCTGTCCTGGTATCACCTAGTTTACCACTCCCACTCTGCAAGATTGTTTTGGTTTGGTTTGGGGCCGCATCTGGCCAAGATGCATGCCAGAGAGTTGAACTATCTCTGTGGTCCACCTACCTCACAATTTTTTTTGCCGGGATAGGGGTCTGGGGCCCCACTCAGCAGTGCTAAGGGGCTGTTCTTGGCTCTGTGCTTTGGGGTCAGTCTTGGCAGTTCCCGGCAGAATCTACATGCAGTATTAAGAGTCAGATCAGAGTGAGCTACATGCAAGGCAAGCACCTTAACCACTCTACTCGTTCTCTAGTTCCCATACAAAAATTTTTAATGTTCAAAAGAGAGTTTTAGGTGTGGTTCTGAGGTTCGAATCCAAGGACTCATATATGTGGCAGACACTACGTCACTGAACCACATCCCTGGCCCAATGTTATAAAATTAGGTTTTGGGACCGAGGCTATGGCTCTGGTGGTAAAGTCATGCCTAGCTCATTCAAAGCCCTGGGTTTGTTTTCTAGCACTGTGCTGCCTCCTGAGGACACTGCATGTGGTTCTGGTGACCTCTCAGTACCTTTGGGCCCTCAGGTACCACCAGGTGTGACTGATAAAGAATTTTATATTAATCAGAAAACAGTCATCATAGTGATTATTTTAATAAGGAAATGTTCAGTACTTTATGCTTCATGTACATCACAGTGTAAAGAGACATGTTTAATCAGAGTAATAGTATTTCAGCAAATGAGTGAGTTTACCTCATAGTGCTGCCTGTGATATACTCTGTAAAGCCATATGTTTAAGTATCCGTTCCTAATAGTACCCGTTGCATATGCAGGTGAAGACAGTGTTCTTTCATTAAAATAATGTATTTGTCACACTATGTGCACGTAACACACTCCATAAAACTGCATGTGTTAATGATATTTCTGGGACTGAGAAATAGTTCAGGGGTTTAAGACACTTGTCTTGCATAACTGACCCTGGTTTTATTCCTTGCACCACATGGCCTCCCAAATATCATTGTGTCACTGGATACAGACCTAGAGGCCCCATGCACCCGTCTTTTTGGCCCTGGAGGCCCCAAGCACCACCAGGGAGGCCTGAGTAATCCCTGGCAACACAGGACCCAACCGGCATCCTTGGGTCCTTGCATTGACCTCCCAGGCCAGTTTGCTGAGAATCACTGGGAGGAGCCTCCGGGACCTCCTTCTGAATACCACTTGGGAAGCCCCACTCTGTCCCCCATACCGAGAGAGAGAGAGAGAGAGAGAGAGAGAGAGAGAGAGAGAGAGAGAGGAGAGAGAGAGATTTCTAAGAGTGCTAGTTGTAAAGAAAATCATGCCAAGAAAATAATAAAAGTGATTCTAGGGAGGGCCTGGTGCGGTAAAACAGCAGTTAGGGCTCTGGCCTTGCACACAGCTGACCTGGGTATTAATCTCTGGTATTCTATATGGTCCCCTGAAACAACGCCAGGGGTGATTCCTGATCACAGACAGGAATAACCTTTGAGAACCCAGGATTTGGGCCCCCAAACAAAACAAAGAAAGAATTGATTGTGGGGGCTAAGGAGATGACTGAAGAACCATGTGAAAATGAGTGCTTTGCATGCAGAGGTCAGACTTCCGTCCCCAGCGCCACAGTATCTCCCAGAGAGAAGGATCACCATGCACTGAGGCTTCCGAAAATAATTCTAGGGACAAGGGTGTAGTCATCATTAAAACATTTGCGAAGCATGGGTTACGAGGCCCTGCATCGTAGAAGGGGTTGCGGTGGGTGGAACGATCCTGTGATAAAAGGTACTAGATGGTCATTGTAAAAAATCAAGAAGATACCTATTCCATGTCGTCATGTTCATAGAAAATTGACCCTGATATACCTTTAGTAAAGCTTATTGCTATGATTTACTGAATCATTCGTGTGCTCTTCTCTTATATCTCACATACAGATTTGTATTTAAAAGCTTTCAGTTAGATCACACTCTGTATGCTACTTAATAACCTTCATTCCCCACCCTACCCCAGAAAAATCAGCTTTTTTCTAGCAGAGACCTACATTATTGTTAATGGCCTATTAATCAGGCCCATTGAAGGATATTTAAGTTGTTTCTGAGTTGTTTTCTCTCGTGCATCATGCTTCAGTGAACGCTTTGGGCCCTTTACCTTTCCCCCTGTTAGGGTTACCTCTGTGTGTATTTCCAGAAGTCAGGGACTTGTTTGTTCCCATCTCCAAGCTGCCCTCAGGAAAGGTAACACACATCATTGTAGGGTCCTATGGGAAATCCCTCTTTCTCGTTCTCGCTGGTCTAATGCTTAAAATAACGTTTTTTAGGAAAATCCCCCCCTTTCCCCCTTTGTTGACCCTTTGAATATAATGTTTTGCTTTTTCACTTGAACATCTCATTTTGTCTCTGGAATTTATTATGAAATAAAGGACAGAAAAAGGACCCAGTTTTCTATTTTGCTTGCTGCAGTTTTTTCTCATTTATTTGATTCATTAGAATTAAGTTTTGATCAGAAGGACCATTCCTCAGTTACTCAGTTAACTGTGTCCTCAGTTACTCAGCAGAATACAGTGTTTTCTCAGAGCTGCTCTGTCTAGTACGACAATAGCCACTAACCACAGGGAGCTAATGAGCATTGGAACTGTGACAAAGTCAAATCGAGATCAGCTATAAGTATAAAATTTACTGGACTTTTTTTTTTTTTTTAAGGAACTCAATACCTACAGAAACAGGAGAGAGAGTATGTAAGAGACTATTATGTCTCTACAGATCTCTTTATAGAAACTTAACTGACTAGTGCCTGGAGGAGCTCAGATAGTTGTTCACTTAGTTTCTGGGACATAAAGTGGCAAAATTAGCAGCTTCTTTCAGAGGAAGAATCTGCATTTGCAAATCCAGCTGATGATTAAATCAAATGCTTTCCACTAATGTGACTATTTGGCAGTTATATCCAGAAAATGAAACTGTCATCGTTGATGTATCTTTGCCTATCATTTTCTATAATTTCACAAACATGAACTTATATTTCACCTGCTTAATGATTCTGATATTTTGTGCAAAATATTTTAGATAGACCTAATCTTAATATTTAATCATTTATGTAATAACTCGATGTATGTATCTTTGCATATCATTTTCTATAATTTCATAAACTTATTTCATTTATTTAATAATTAAAAATTACATATTTTATAATGTTTATAAAATGGCCATCATTTTCTCCTTGTCTTCTCATTTCCTAGATAAGTATATTTGTTTCTCTCAGAAACTCAATCATTTCTGAATTACTTTTTCTTATAGGAAGTCCAGCTCTAATGAAAATATTGAGGAAAAGTTTCCTGAAATTGTACCCACACCTTTTTTTTAGTTCTGAACTAGGAGAGTATTTCTTGTCTCCATTTTGTCAATATTCTTTTAAATATGATACTGAGAAAGTCAAGAGAGAATAAGCCCTTCTGGGTGTGGTCCCCAAACAAAACAAGAAACATAATACCTCCTCTTGCTATCTCTGCTTTTCCTTAAACTCCAGTAATTCAGATGCGTGCCTTCTTGGAAATGTTTCTCTTACCTGCTGTACCTTTCTTCAGGTCACCTCAGGGTGATCACTAGGTAGGGTTTGCTAGCATTTTAGGGTTAGATAAAAATAAAAAGCAAACAAGACACTATTCACTCCTGTGATTCTTGCCTTTTTCCTTAGAGTGTATAGGTCCAAAGGAATGATCGTAAACATAATCGTAAGCATAATAAACATAGTTGTAACTCATCCAGCAGCACACCTGTGCCGATATGGA